GTCCCCTCCCAGCCCAGGCTGCCTCTCATCTCTCTGCCTTCTCTCCTGTGCCCTGGGTGCTGCAGGCAGTGCCCTCAGCCCTGCTGGGCTGTGCAGAGGAGCTGCTCAGCAGCAGAGCTGTGTCTTTGAAGCTGTTCTTGGTTGCCAGGAGCTCCCTGTGTGCCAGGAGCCCAGCCCAGCTCAGCAGCATAGCAACAGCCCCAGGCATTTCATCAGCCTCGGGGGCTTTGGGGATGAGTCCCTGAACATCAGACCCTGAGGAGAGTTGCAGGAACCTCTTGAGGGACCAAAGTGAGATTTCAACTGGAAAGTTTCTAGTAGTGTTAATGGGTCCCACTGAGGGATCCAACTGAGAAAAGATCTTGTTAGAGCACAAACGTGGAAACTGTGATGACAGGTCAGAGAATCACAAAATCATCAAGGTTGGAAGAGACCTTTAATATAGTTTTGTCCAACTGTCAACCAGAACCACTATAACCATTCTTAAACCATATACAGATGCTATCTGAATGCTTCCAGAGACTCAGAGACTTTTCCAGGAATCTTTTTCCAGTACCTAAACAATTAGTGAAAATAAATCTAGAGGCTCAAGATGCACTGTTTCTAAAAATGGCACTAAAGCAATCAAAGATTGTCAAGAAATATTAAGGTCCCTCAAAGATCCCACTTCAATGGACATGGTTAAGGTGTCTCCCAGTGTAGGATCCAACACGTACAAAAAATCCCTGCTAACTGAAATCCTGGCAGTGCAACAACAACAGAAGGAGGCTCCGTGTCACCACTGGTGGAAAATACATTTTAACTGGGGCTGCTCCATCTAATAATACAGGGTTAACAGTTATCCCACAATCAGTGACTGTAGACAACCCTAAGGCATTAGAAGTGACTGTAAAAGCTCTATTTCCACCCGTGGAGCCAGACACAGAAACACCCATTGCCAATTTAACCCCAATTGCTGTAGGGGGGGACACTTTGGACTCTGTGCTGATGGTCCAGTGGTCACAGTCCATTTTACTCCATCAGCCAATGCAAACCTGCAGGGTATTTTTTCCCAACACTACCAATGTGCTCAAGTTCAAGGTCTTACAGACACAGGAGCAGACGTCACAATCTTTCTGGAGAGCGTCTGGCCGAAGGAATGGAGCACTACGGAGCCCTGCATCGACATCAAAGGGGTAGGAGGAGCCCAGACACCGCTCCAAAGTGTCTCCACTTTACTGACTGAAGGACCACAAGGTAAAACTGCCTCAGCAAAGCCCTCTGTCCTTAATATCCCAATGACCCTCTGGGGCAGAGATATGATAGGACAAGGGGGAGTCCAAGTAACTACCTCAAATTTAGTTTAAAGGCCACTGGTGAGCCGCAATCTCCTGCCCTCACATGGCTCTCGGACCAGCCAATCTGGGTATCCCAGTGGCCCCTAAAGGGAGAGAAATTGTGGCAAATTAACCTACTAGTACATGAACAACTAGCAAAGGGACATTACGTACCAACTGATAGTCCTTGGAATTTCCCCATTTTTACCCTACCAAAATCCAATGGAAAGTGGAGACTGCTAAAGGATTTAAGAGAACTCAACAAAATAATAGAGATGATGGGGGCTCTCCAGGCTGGGCCACCATCACTACAATGATACCTTAAAAGTGACCTATTGTTCTTTTTGATTGAAAAGATCGTTTCTTTAACATTGCATTAAACCCTAAAGACTCTCGTAGGTTGGCATTTACAGTGCCTTCCATCAACGCAGCAGAACCATCTCAGCGCTATCACTGGACAGTCCTCCCACCAGGAAGGAGGAACAGCCCCTCTGTTTGCCAAAGAGTCGTTGCAGACGTGTTATCACCAACCCATCGACAGTGTCCCGATACCATCGTATCTCACTCTAGGGACGATCTCTTGCTGGCAGCGCAATCCGAGGGACAACTCCTGCAAGTGCATTTGT